CTCTCTGCTTCTGTTGACCTGTGATGTCCTCAGTCCATCCAGCACTCTCTGCCTCTGTTGACCTGTGATGTCCTCAGTCCATTCAGCACTCTCTGCTTCTGTTGACCTGTGATATCCTCAGTCCATCCAGCACTCTCTGCTTCTGTTGACCTGTGATGTCCTCAGTCCATCCAGCACTCTCTGCCTCTGTTGACCTGTGATGTCCTCAGTCCATCCAGCACTCTCTGCCTCTGTTGACCTGTGATGTCCTCAGTCCATCCAGCACTCTCTGCTTCTGTTGACCTGTGATGTCCTCAGTCCATCCAGCACTCTCTGCTTCTGTTGACCTGTGATGTCCTCAGTCCATCCAGCACTCTCTGCTTCTGTTGACCCATGATGTCCACAGCCTTGCCTGTTGTCATGTCCCAGCATTGATTGAATGGTTGCTGACTGCTGTTGTCATGTCCCAGCATTGATTGAATGGTTGCTGACTGCTGTTGTCATGTCCCAGCATTGATGGTTATGGTTGCTGACTGCTGTTGTAATGTCCCAGCATTGATTGAATGGTTGCTGACTGCTGTTGTCATGTCCCAGCATTGATTGAATGGTTGCTGACTGCTGTTGTCATGTCCCAGCATTGATTGAATGGTTGCTGACTGCTGTTGTCATGTCCCAGCATTGATGGTTATGGTTGCTGACTGCTGTTGTAATGTCCCAGCATTGATTGAATGGTTGCTGACTGCTGTTGTCATGTCCCAGCATTGATTGAATGGTTGCTGACTGCTGTTGTCATGTCCCAGCATTGATGGTTATGGTTGCTGACTGCTGTTGTAATGTCCCAGCATTGATTGAATGGTTGCTGACTGCTGTTGTCATGTCCCAGCATTGATTGAATGGTTGCTGACTGCTGTTGTCATGTCCCAGCATTGATTGAATGGTTGCTGACTGCTGTTGTCATGTCCCAGCATTGATTGAATGGTTGCTGACTGCTGTTGTAATATCCCAGCATTGATTGAATGGTTGCTGACTGCTGTTGTCATGTCCCAGCATTGATGGTTATGGCTGCTGACTGCTGTTGTCATGTCCCAGCATTGATTGAATGGTTGCTGACTGCTGTCATGTCCCAGCATTGATGGTATAGTTGCTGACTGCTGCTGCCATTTTGTGTGTTTGACATTCCACTGCTGTCTGCTTGCAGGAGATGTTGTCTACTTCCTCACTGTGCAGAGACGTGACTATCACAGCCAGCCAGAGAGTCTTTGCTCTCTGTAACCAGGAGGAGCCCGTCAGCTTTTCTGACTGCATGCCGCCAGCGTAGGTGCACATTGTACCACTTACATGTACATGTCTCTCTGAGGTATTTATCTGTCCCAAACAGGCTTTCATATGTGTCCCACCCAGGCATCCATGTGTCCCACCCAGGCGTCCATGTGTGTCCCACTCAGGCATCCATGTGTGTCCCACTCAGGCATCCATGTGTGTCCCATTATAAATACCTGAATAAAGCATATATATGGGTCCCACTTGCACATCTGTGCACTTGCATAATATTTCACCAAATCACTAGAATCAGATCAAAACGGATAACTGTTATCTGTTGTACACGGCTGGGCAGTTTGCTGCCATACTCAGCTTCAGAAGAGATGACCACAGTACTCATGGCCACATGTACACAGACAAAACTTATGGCCACATGAACACAGACAGAACTCTTGGCCACATGAACACAGACAGAACTCTTGGCCACATGTACACAGACAAAACTGATGGCCACATGTACACAGACAGAACTGATGGCCACATGTACACAGACAGGACTCTTGGCCACATGTACACAGACAGGACTCTTGGCCACATGAACACAGACAGACCTCTTGACCACATGTACACAGACAGAACTGATGGCACATGTACACAGACAGAACTCTTGGCCACATGTACACAGACAGAACTCTTGGCCACATGTACACAGACATAACTCTTGGCCACATGTACACAGACAGAACTCTTGGCCACATGTACACAGACAGAACTGATGGCACATGTACACAGACATAACTCTTGGCCACCTGTAAACAGACACAACTGATGGCCACATGTACACAGACAACTCTTGACCGCATGTACACAGACAGAACTGATGGCCACATGTACACAGACAGGACTCTTGGCCACATGTACACAGACAGGACTCTTGGCCACATGAACACAGACAGACCTCTTGACCACATGTACACAGACAGAACTGATGGCCACATGTACACAGACAGAACTCTTGGCCACATGTACACAGACAGAACTCTTGGCCACATGTACACAGACATAACTCTTGGCCACATGTACACAGACAGAACTCTTGGCCACATGTACACAGACAGAACTCTTGGCCACATGTACACAGACAGAACTGATGGCCACATGTACACAGACAGAACTGATGGCCACATGTACACAGACAGAACTGATGGCCACATGTACACAGACAGAACTCTTGGCCACATGTACACAGACAGAACTCTTGGCCACATGTACACAGACAGAACTCTTGGCCACATGTGCACAGACATAACTCTTGGCCACATGTACACAGACAGAACTCTTGGCCACATGTACACAGACAGAACTCTTGGCCACATGTACACAGACAGAACTGATGGCCACATGTACACAGACAGAACTGATGGCCACATGTACACAGACAGAACTGATGGCCACATGTACACAGACAGAACTCTTGGCCACATGTACACAGACAGAACTCTTGGCCACATGTACACAGACAGAACTGATGGCCACATGTGCACAGACAGTACTGATGGCTACATGTACACAGACAGAACTCTTGACCACATGTACACAGACAGAACTCTTGGCCACATGTACACAGACAGCACAGATGGCCACATGTACACAGACAGCACAGATGGCCACATGTACACAGACATAACTCTTGACCACATGTACACAGGCAGAACTGATGGCCACATGTACACAGACAGCACAGATGGCCACATGTACACAGACAGAACACTTGACCACATGTACACAGACAGCACAGATGGCCACATGTACACAGACAGAGCTCTTGGCCACATGTGCACAGACAGAACTCTTGACCACATGTACACAGACAGAACTGATGGCCACATGTACACAGACAGAACTCTTGGCCACATGTACACAGACTGCACTATTGACCACATGTACACAGACAGAACTCTTGACCACATGTACACAGACAGCACAGATGGCCACATGTACACAGACAGCACAGATGGCCACATGTACACAGACAGAACTGATGGCCACATGTACACAGACAGAACTGATGGCTACATGTACACAGACAGAACTGATGGCCACATGTACACAGACAGCACTGATGGCCACGTGTACACAGACAGAACTGATGACCACATGTACACAGACACAACTGATGACCACATGTACACAGACAGAACTGATGGCCACATGTACACAGACAGAACTGATGACCACATGTACACCGACAGAACTCTTGGCCACATGTACACAGACAGAACTGATGACCACATGTACACAGACAGAACTGATGGCCTCATGTACACAGACAGAACTGATGATCACATGTACACAGACACAACTGATGACCACATGTACACAGACAGAACTGATGGCCACATGTACACAGATAAAACTGATGACCACATGTACACAGACAGAACTGATGACCACATGTACACAGACAGAACTGATGACGACATGTACACAGACATAACTCTTGGCCACATGTACACAGGCAGAACTTTTGGCCACATGTACACAGACAGGACTCTTGGCCACATGTACACAGACAGAACTATAGGCCACATGTACACAGACATAACTCTTGACCACATGTACACAGACAGAACTGATGGCCACATGCACACAGACAGAACTTTTGGCCACATGTACACAGACAGTACTCATGGCCACATGTACACAGACATAAATCTTCCCCACATGTTCACAGAATTAAGTCTGAGTCTGAGTGTTCCAGAAATGTTTACTTGATCTTCTTTAAAAGCCAGCCTGGCAATACGTGGTGGGCTGAGAAGCATGGCTTTCACAGACTTGCCTCCAGCGTAAGCAGCAGATTATTCACAGGCAGAAAACATCCTCTCCTGTCTGTTGCTGTTGTGCTCCCATCTTCATGTCAGTTCTGTGACAGCTGAATATGTGTCATTTACGTCCTATGTGTGACAGCTGTATATGTGTCATTTACGTCCTATGTGTGACAGCTGTTTTCATGTCATTCTGCTTGGTGTGTCAATGACAGCTGTCTTTGTGTTTGTTCTGTGTATGACAGTTGTATAGTCTGAGTTAGTAATGTCTTGGACAGTGATATTCCTGTCGTTACTAGGAACCCACCCACATTGGACTACGGGTTACTTCCTAACCATGTTGAGGTGGCCTAGTATAACTGTGCTGTATGTTGAGCAGGCTTTCCTGGGTTTGCCACTGTCTGCTTCTCATCCTTGACTGCAGTCATTGACAAGAACAACTTGCAGTCATTGTGCTAGAACTGTCTGTGTGTCACTACAGTGTCCATGTTAGTCCTTGGTATACAGCTGTGTGCAGATCATATCGGTGATGTCTGTACTATTTATGGCGGCTGTTTCCTGTCTTGATGTTAGTTCTGTGTATAATAGTTATATTTACAGGAGGGCTGTCTATGATAGCTGTTATTTATCTTAATGTTAGTTCTGTGTGTGACAGTTATTTTCATAGGAGTGCTGTCTGACCTGTGTGTGACAGTTATTTTCATAGGAGTGCTGTCTGATGGTTGTTTCCTGTCTTGATGTTAGATCTGTGTATGACAGTTATATTCATAGGAATACTATTTATGGCGGCTGTTTCCTGTCTTGATGTTAGTTCTATGTATCACGTTTTTTTTTCATAGGAACACTGTCTGTGACAGCTGTTTCCTGTCTTGATATTAGTTCTATGTATGACAGCCTTATTCATATGTCTAGCTTGCTGTAACTTGTCTTCTGCAGGATGATGTCCAGATGTGTCAAGATTGGGGAGGGTGTGTATGGGGAAGTGTTCCGTTCCTTTTCTCATGGAGAGGCTGTGGCTTTGAAGGTAAGGCATTAATAGTTGTCAGGTCATAGCAGTCTTGTTGTCTCTCAGGTCATAGCAGTCTTGTTGTCTGTCAGGTCACAGCAGTCTTGTTGTCTGTCAGGTCATAGCAGTCTTGTTGTCTGTCAGGTCATAGCAGTCTTGTTGTCTGTCAGGTCATAGCAGACATGTTGTCTTTCAGGTCATAGCAGACTTGTTGTCTGTCAGGTCATAACAGTCTTTTTGTCTGTCAGGTCATAGCAGTCTTGTTGTATGTCAGGTCATAGCAGTCTTGTTGTCTGTCAGGTCATAGCAGTCTTGTTGTCTGTCAGGTCATAGCAGACTTGTTGTCTGTCAGGTCATAGCAGTCTTGTTGTATGTCAGGTCATAGCAGTCTTGTTGTCTGTCAGGTCATAGCAGACTTGTCTGTCAGGTCATAGCAGTCTTGTTGTATGTCAGGTCATAGCAGTCTTGTTGTATGTCAGGTCATAACAGTCTTGTTGTATGTCAGGTCATAGCAGTCTTGTTGTATGTCAGGTCATAACAGTCTTGTTGTATGTCAGGTCATAGCAGTCTTGTTGTATGTCAGGTCATAACAGTCTTGTTGTATGTCAGGTCATAACAGTCTTGTTGTATGTCAGGTCATAACAGTCTTGTTGTATGTCAGGTCATAACAGTCTTGTTGTATGTCAGGTCATAACAGTCTTGTTGTATGTCAGGTCATAACAGTCTTGTTGTATGTCAGGTCATAACAGTCTTGCTGTATGTCAGGTCATAACAGTCTTGTTGTCTGTCAGGTCATAGCAGACTTGTTGTCTGTCAGGTCATAGCAGTCTTGTTGTCTGTCAGGTCATAGCAGTCTTGTTGTCAGGTCATAGCAGACTTGTTGTCTGTCAGGTCATAGCAGACTTGATGTCTGTCAGGTCATAACAGTCTTGTTGTCTGTCAGGTCATAGCAGTCTTGTTGTATGTCAGGTCATAGCAGTCTAGTTGTCTGTCAGGTCATAGCAGTCTTGTTGTCTTTCAGGTCATAACAGCCTTGTCTGTCAGGTCATAGCAGTCTAGTTGTCAGTCAGGTCATAGCAGTCTAGTTGTCTGTCAGGTCATAGCAGTCTAGTTGTCTGTCAGGTCATAGCAGTCTTGTTGTCTTGTCAGGTCATAGCAGACTTGTTGTCTGTCAGGTCATAGCAGCCTTGTCTGTCAGGTCATAGCAGCCAGGTTGAGACTTATGTAGCTGTAGGTAACATTGATGTGAGAAGCCAAAGTTACTAGACTGTGTGACAGCCAGGTGCAGACTTATGTAGCTGTAGGTACATGTTGTCGTGCTGTGGTTGGAGCTTTTATGGAGGAGTGTAACACAGAGGGAATTGAACCCGTTCCTAACAGATGGCTGCGGAGTATCTATCAGAAGCCACCTTAGACAGAAATTACAGTGAGTTTGATTGCAAAGCGAAATCTGCTTAATATGTGCAGCGTTGAGACTTGCCAGATAAATGTATTAAGTATTATTTTATTCTGTTGGAGAGCTTGGTCTGTTCACTGGATATTGGTGTATTATTCTGAATGAAGGCAGTTATGTGGATGAGATGATGGGATCTAGATTCTTTATCTGTCCTCTGTGTTGTGTGTTACTTCATGATGTTGGTCAGGGCCATTGGCCGTCTATATAACCATGTGGAACTTTGATAGTAGCACACGTCTGCTTCCCCACAGGTCAGCCTGGCTTATAAAAGGACGATTGCTGGTGAAGGCTACCCCAGGAGTGGGCCCATAGCTGAATGTGTCTATTAATGGTTGCTGGTGGCCCCAGGAGTGGGCACATAGCTGAATGTGTCTATTAATGGTTGCTAGTGGCCCCAGGAGTGGGCACATAGCTGAATGTGTCTATTAATGGCTGCTGGTGACCCCAGGAGTGGGCACATAGCTGAATGTGTCTATGAATGGCTGCTGGTGACTGCAGGAGTGGGCCCATAGCTGAATGTGTCTATTAATGGCTGCTGGTGACCCCAGGAGTGGGCCCATAGCTGAATGTGTCTATTAATGGCTGCTGGTGGCCCCAGGAGTGGGCACATAGCTGAATGTGTCTATTAATGGTTGCTAGTGGCCCCAGGAGTGGGCCCATAGCTGAATGTGTCTATGAACGGCTGCTGGTGACTGCAGGAGTGGGCACATAGCTGAATGTGTCTACTAATGGTAGCTGGTGGCCCCAGGAGTGGGCACATAGCTGAATGTGTCTATTAATGGCTGCTGGTGGCCCCAGGAGTGGGCACATAGCTGAATGTGTCTGTGAATGGCTGCTGGTGACCCCAGGAGTGGGCCCATAGCTGAATGTGTCTATTAATGGTAGCTGGTGGCCCCAGGAGTGGGCCCAAAGCTGAATGTGTCTATTAATGGCTGCTGGTGACTGCAGGAGTGGTCACATAGCTGAATGTGTCTGTGAATGGCTGCTGGTGACTGCAGGAGTGGGCACATAGCTAAATGTGTCTGTGAATGGCTGCTGGTGACCCCAGGAGTGGGCCCATAGCTGAATGTGTTTGTGAATGGCTGCTGGTGACCACAGGAGTGGGCACATAGCTAAATGTGTCTGTGAATGGCTGCTGGTGACCCCAGGAGTGGGCCCATAGCTGAATGTGTCTGTGAATGGCTGCTGGTGACTGCAGGAGTGGGCACATAGCTGAATGTGTCTATTAATGGTTGCTAGTGGCCCCAGGAGTGGGCACATAGCTGAATGTGTCTATTAATGGCTGCTGGTGACCTCAGGAGTGGGCACATAGCTGAATGTGTCTATTAATGGCTGCTGGTGACCCCAGGAGTGGGCTGAATGTGTCTGTGAATGGCTGCTGGTGACCCCAGGAGTGGGCACATAGCTGAGTGTCTATTAATGGTAGCTGCTGGCCCCAGGAGTGGGCCCATAGCTGAATGTGTCTATTAATGGTTGCTGGTGGCCTCAGGAGTGGGCACATAGCTAAATGTGTCTGTGAATGGCTGCTGGTGACTGCAGGAGTGGGCACATAGCTGAATGTGTCTATTAATGGTTGCTGGTGGCCCCAGGAGTGGGTAAATAGCTGAATGTGTCTGTAAATGGCTACTAGTGAAGGCTACCCCAGGAGTGGGCACATAGCTGAATGTGTCTGTGAATGGTTGCTGGTGAAGGCTACCCCAGGAGTGGGCACATAGCTGAATGTGTCTGTGAATGGCTGCTGGTGACTGCATGAGTGGGCACATAGCTGAATGTGTCTGTGAATGGCTGCTGGTGACTGCAGGAGTGGGCACATAGCTGAATGTGTCTGTAAATGGCTACTGGTGAAGGCTACCCCAGGAGTGGGCACATAGCTGAATGTGTCTGTAAATGGCTACTGGTGAAGGCTACCCCAGGAGTGGGCCCATGTGCCAAATGTGACTTGTATTGGGGACTAGGTACCACCTTTTAAGATGGTGCTGTCCTTGGAGTCTGTCAATGTTTATACCTGGAACAATTTAATAGTGTTCAATCATTTGTCACAAATTCATCGTCCTAATGTGCTCACCCATGGATAAATTAGAGCAACTTCACTGACAGTACACCTTTGTAGTGATATATAGTTTGTACACAGTGTTTGTGGTTACAATATCGCTTGTTTGTAGCCGTGCTGTCTCACATTTCATCTGTGGGTAACCCAGCAGTCGTCCTCATCATTGAGAGAGCTCGTGTATGGGGCTAGAGCAAGTCTGTATCCCTTCACACTTGTTAGCATGCATAACCACATCAAGTATCTTACAATGTTTGGCCAGATAATCCCCATTGAAGGCAGCCAGCATGTCAACGATTGTCCCCAGAAACAGTTTGAGGAGATACTGCCAGAGATTGTCATTGCCAAGTAGGTGTCCGCGTGGGCTGTGTGATCTCTTGTTCAAGTAGGTGTCCGCGTGGGCTGTGTGATCTCTTGTTCAAGTAGGTGTCCACATGTGCTTTGTGATCTCTTGTTCAAATAGGTGTCCACGTGGGCTGTGTGTTTTATCTCTTGTTCAAGTAGGTGTCCGCGTAGGCTGTGTGATCTCTTGTTCAAATAGGTGTCCGCATGTGCTATGTGATCTCTTGTTCAAGTAGGTGTCCACATGTGCTGTGTGATCCCTTGTTCAAATAGGTGTCCGTATGTGCTGTGTGATCTCTTGTTCAAGTAGGTGTCCATATGTGCAGTGTGATCTCTTGTTCAAAAAGGTGTCCACATGTGCAGTGTGATCTCTTGTTCAAATAGGTGTCCGTATGTGCTGTGTGATCTCTTGTTCAAGTAGGTGTCCATATGTGCAGTGTGATCTCTTGTTCAAAAAGGTGTCCACATGTGCAGTGTGATCTCTTGTTCAAGTAGGTGTCCGTATGTGCTGTGTGATCTCTTGTTCAAATAGGTGTCAGCGTGGGCTGTGTGATCTCTTGTTCAAATAGGTGTCCGTATGTGCTGTGTGATCTCTTGTTCAAGTAGGTGTCCGTATGTGCTGTGTGATCTCTTGTTCAAGTAGGTGTCCGTATGTGCTGTGTGATCTCTTGTTCAAGTAGGTGTCAGCGTGGGCTGTGTGATCTCTTGTTCAAATAGGTGTCAGCGTGGGCTGTGTGATCTCTTGTTCAAGTAGGTGTCCGTATGTGCTGTGTGATCTCTTGTTCAAATAGGTGTCAGCGTGGGCTGTGTGATCTCTTGTTCAAATAGGTGTCCGTATGTGCTGTGTGATCTCTTGTTCAAGTAGGTGTCAGCGTGGGCTGTGTGATCTCTTGTTCAAATAGGTGTCCGTATGTGCTGTGTGATCTCTTGTTCAAGTAGGTGTCAGCGTGGGCTGTGTGATCTCTTGTTCAAGTAGGTGTCCACGTGGGCTGTGTGATCTCTTGTTCAAGTAGGTGTCCACGTGGGCTGTGTGATCTCTTGTTCAAGTAGGTGTCCACGTGGGCTGTGTGATCTCTTGTTCAAATAGGTGTTCAAGCTGTCTCTGTCTCACACAGTTGCACTGATGTCTTTTATTGTCACTGTCTCTCTCTCACACACAATCTTCACTTATCTCTCTTGTTGTCTATCTCTTACACAATCTTACTTATCTCTTTTGTTGTCCCTGTCACACAACATTTTTTTTTTCTCTCATGTTGTCTCTCTCATAAAATCTTACATATCTCTTTTACTGTCTCTCTCACACAATTTCAATTATCTCTCTCATGTTGTCAGTGTCTCCCCCACAACAGTGTGTATCTCATCCATTTATGCCCAGCCACCATCTCATTCACTGACCCTTTACTCACCAACACTGACTTACCCACCCATTAACTCATTTATTAAAAAACCCACTAACTCAACCACCATTGACTTATTTACCCGCCAACTCAACCACCCACTCATTAACTCATTCATTCAGCAAGCCACACACACATTCATTTAGCTACCCACCGGCTTTGCCACCCACACATTAACTCATTGATTCAGCCATCCACCAATTCAACAAGCCACACACACATTCATTTAGCTGCCCACCAGCTGCGCCACTACACATTAACTCATTCACTCAGCCATCAACCAATTCAACAAACCACGCACACGTTCATTTAGCTACACACCAACTGCGCCACCCACACGTTAACTCATTCATTCAACCATCCACTAATTCAACAAGCCACACACACATACATTTAGCTACCCACCAGCTGAGCCACCCACACATTAACTCATTGATTCAACCATCCACCAATTCAACAACCACTGACACCCCATCCATTACACTGATTCACTGACCAGCAAGGGTTGAAGGGTCAGCCCCAGCAGTTTATGACCCTGTGTGATGCACCACAAGTGTTTACACATCATCAATATCCTGTGTCACGGGGCTCCAGTCAATTTTATAATCTTGTGTTTCAGAGAACTGAGTGACCTGGCCAGCTCTGGCAACAACCAGACCAGCAACTTTTGCCAGGTCAATAGGTGCGTCGTAGCTGTTTCTGTCTGTCCAACAGACTCCTTGTTTCTGTCTGTCCAACATTCTCCTTGTTTCTGTCTGTCCAACATTCTCCTTGTTTCTGTCACTGACTGTTCCTGCACAGATGTTTGACAATATTCTTCATCAGCTAAAGGCAACAGTCTCTGTCACTGACGGATTGGGACATTAGGCCTAAATGTTGCACTGGAGAGGGAAGGGGGGGGGGGGGTGTCTCTGGTTACGATTGGGAAAGCTGATTTGGAAGATGAGGCATTAATTAGAAACGGTATTAGTGGAAGACAGGCTGCAGATTTTATTAGATTCAAGTCAACGGGATGATGCAACTGAGGGGCTATTGCAGAAAGTATGTACTAAAGTGGGCTTCATCCTCGGCAAGAAGGCTGAAATATGTGCATACAGTTAGAAGGACATTACTGTCAAGGTGCTACAGGCTAGAAGGACATTATTGTCAAGGAGCTTCAGGCTAGAAGGACATTACTGTTCAGGTGCTACAGACTAGAAGGACATTACTGTCAAGGAGCTTCAGGCTAAAAGGACATTACTGACAAGGTGCTTGTCGTATGGCAGTTTTGTCGCGCACCTTTACTTGAGGATTATTTTCCAAAACCCCTCAGGCGCTCTGAGATAGGGGTCTTCTGAATGGTGGCTCTCGTTCTTCTAGAGGCCTAACCCTCGGTTCAAACTTCCATTCAGCCTATCTCAGGAATGAGGTGACTCGAGCTCTGACTCCACAGGGTTACTATGAACTCTTGGGTACCTCTCGGCCAGACATCCCCATTACTAAATTTGCCCCCAGACTGGTAAACAACGTAACACAGTCAAATATATAAACAACAGGGAATAGGACAATACATGAACACCTTTCTGACTACGACAATGGATTCCGTTAAAACCAAACTTTTCTTAGAACAAGAAGTCTGATGAACTAAAACTTCAGTGTAATAAATGCACTATAACAAGGCAGAAGAAAAGTAGCACGAAGAATCAAAATGAATGTTCAAGTCTTTGAAGAAATGACACTAGAGAAAGAGTCTTTCTACATAGCCACATCCATTTCCAGGATCATCATAGCCTTGGAGAGCAGAGACGGACTTCGAAGGCACAACTGAACTTAGGCCGCTACAGTGAAGTTGTCTTAGACTTATCTTGTCTGATCCTGCAGCTCCTCCGGATGCCGGAAGGTAGATTTCTGCTACGTCTCGTTACTCAGAACGTCTCTGTGCGATTAAGACGATCCCTGGGATTGATCGAATCACAATCAACTTCCCAGAGACTGGTAGGTATGACTTTCAACTACAGACAGACACATCAGGCAACGGCTGGTCAACGCAAGTCGGTTGCTTCCCAGGTGTTAGTTGGTGGGAGAACACGACTACCACACGGATGCTTGTTGGATCTTCCAATATCCTAAAATTAACAAGGCAACACACATGAGGAAACCGCCCCCAATGTACCTTGTCAATCACCCTCCTCACGCTCTCCACATGCTCAGACGTAAATGAGGGCTAGTCCAAACCATGAAGGTTGACTTCATATTTCTTGGAACCCCTACAGTTTCGCAGAGTGAGCACTAGAGTCATACGTGCGTTTCTATTAACTCAAATAGTTTCTGAATCCAGTCTTGTAGCGAAAGTTAGACCGATCTCTATCATTCCCTATCCCTCTACATATACCCTTTTCACTAGTTGGAAAGATAAGGTATAGGAGATGAAGACAAAACCAAGATAGAAGGAAATATGTTCCGAAAGCATTTCTACAGCCTAAGCTTGTTGTGGTTACAGTAGCTCCTAGCAACGGCGGATATGACGTCATGCCTGACCCGAAGCTCTCTATCCTTTCCAACGGTCCATCGACTCAACAAGTTCAGGGACCGAATAAAAGATAACAACTGATCATACAAGGTTAACAATACCATAAATACACTCCAGATAGGTGGATTGATTGATCCGAAGAAGTTTTGAAAGCCGGTTCGAAGAATTCACGGAGAAATTTCAGCCGAAAGTGCATTCCAACCAGGATCGCTATCTGTCGTCTTTCATCGCAGGCGATCGTAGACAAACAGATTCGCATTATCAATCTGCCGACCTTTTCTTGCACACACATACAGACACTGAGCACAAATATTCAATTAAATCCTTTTAGGAAAACTCACCCATGTCAATGGACAAAGAGAATAAAGAAGCTTGTCTTTTTTAACGGTCAAGTGGCTACAAAAATGCAACACGTTCGCTCACTTGAACGGACTACGAAGAAGTGACGTATAAAATTATAGTCCCTATCTACGACAGTTGGTGTGAGAATATGGCTCAAGTACACTGTGAAGCGGTCACACAATTAATCTTAAACTGGCGTAGAAAAGGTGTCCTAACATACAAATTGACACTAAACGCCTAAAAGAAACAATCTAAGAGTGATTTCTATAGATTTCTCACATCTGGACTCCCCCACAACCCACGAACTATATCTCTACGGACTGACTATCCGATATCATAGTTACAACAACGATTATGGGGGTGTCCAGACTGTGGGCTAGCTTATTGTGGTAGGTGTGTTGATTCTGTAATGTGACAGTGTTACAGACTAGAAATACATTACTGTCAAATGCTACAGACTAAAAATACATTACTGTCAAATGCTACAGACTAAAAATACATTACTGTCAAATGCTACAGACTAGAAATACATTACTGTCAAGGTGCTACAGACTAGAAATACATTACTGTCAAGGTGCTATAGACTAGAAGGACATTACTGTCAAGGTGCTACAGACTAGAAATACATTACTGTCAAGGTGCTACAGACTAGAAGGACATTACTGTCAAGGTGCTACAGACTAGAAGGACATTACTGTCAAGGTGCTACAGACTAGAAGGACATTTCTGTCAAGGTGCTACAGACTAGAAGGACATTACTGTCAAGGTGCTACAGACTAGAAGGACATTACTGTCAAGGTGCTACAGACGAAGGACATTACTGTCAAGGGGCTACAGACTAGAAATACATTACTGTCAAGGTGTTACAGACTAGAAGGACATTACTGTCAAGGTGCTACAGACTAGAAGGACATTACTGTCAAGGTGCTACAGACTAGAAAGACATTACTGTCAAGGTGCTACAGACTAGAAATACATTACTGTCAAGGTGCTACAGACTAGAAATACATTACTGTCAAGGTGCTACAGACTAGAAGGACATTACTGTCAAGGTGCTACAGACTAGAAGGACATTACTGTCAAGGTGCTACAGACTAGAAGGACATTACTGTCAAGGTGCTACAGACTAGAAATACATTACTGTCAAGGTGTTACAGACTAGAAGGACATTACTGTCAAGGTGCTACAGACTAGAAGGACATTACTGTCAAGGTGCTACAGACTAGAAAGACATTACTGTCAAGGTGCTACAGACTAGAAATACATTACTGTCAAGGTGCTACAGACTAGAAATACATTACTGTCAAGGTGCTACAGACTAGAAGGACATTACTGTCAAGGTGCTACAGACTAGAAGGACATTACTGTCAAGGTGCTACAGACTAGAAGGACATTACTGTCAAGGTGCTACAGACTAGAAGGACGTTACTGTCAAGGTGCTACAGCCTAGAAAGACATTACTGTCAAGGTGCTACAGACTAGAAATACATTACTGTCAAGGTGCTACAGACTAGAAATACATTACTGTCAAGGTGCTACAGACTAGAAGGACATTACTGTCAAGGTGCTACAGACTAGAAATACATTAATGTCAAGGTGCTACAGACTAGAAAGACATTACTGTCAAGGTGCTACAGACTTGAAATACATTACTGTCAAGGTGCTACAGACTAGAAAGACATTACTGTCAAGGTGCTACAGACTAGAAAGACATTACTGTTAAGGTGCTACAGATTAGAAGGACATTACTGTCAAGGTGATACAGGCTAGAAGGACATTACTGTCAAGGTGCTACAGGCTAGAAGGACATTACTGTCAAGAAGCTACAGGCTAGAAGGACATTACTGTCAAGAAGCTACAGGCTAGAAGGACATTACTGTCAAGGAGCTACAACTTAGAAGGACATTACTGTCAATGTGCTACAGGCTAGAAGGACATTACTGTCAAGGAGCTACAGACTAGAAGGACATTACTGTCAAGGAGCTACAAACTAGAAGGACATCACTGTCAAGGAGCTACAAACTAGAGGGACATCACTGTCAAGGAGCTACAGACTAGAAGGACATCACTGTCAAGGAGCTAAAGACTAGAAGGACATTACTGACAAGGTACTACAGACTAGAAAACATTACTGTCAAGGTGTTACAGACTAGAAGGACATTACTGTCAAGGTGCTACAGACTAGAAGGACATTACTGTCAAGGTGCTACAGACTAGAAAGACATTACTGTCAAGGTGCTACAGACTAGAAAATACATTACTGTCAAGGTGCTACAGACTAGAAATACATTACTGTCAAGGTGCTACAGACTAGAAGGACATTACTGTCAAGGTGCTACAGACTAGAAATACATTACTGTCAAGGTGCTACAGACTAGAAGGACATTACTGTCAAGGTGCTACAGACTAGAAGGACATTACTGTCAAGGTGCTACAGACTAGAAGGACATTACTGTCAAGGTGCTACAGACTAGAAATACATTACTGTCAAGGTGTTACAGACTAGAAGGACATTACTGTCAAGGTGTTACAGACTAGAAGGACATTACTGTCAAGGTGCTACGGACTAGAAATACATTACTGTCAAGGTGCTACAGACTAGAAATACATTACTGTCAAGGTGCTACAGACTAGAAGGACATTACTGTCAAGGTGCTACAGACTAGAAGGACATTACTGTCAAGGTGCTACAGACTAGAAGGACATTACTGTCAAGAAGCTACAGGCTAGAAGGACATTACTGTCAAGGAGCTACAACTTAGAAGGACATTACTGTCAAGGTGCTACAGGCTAGAAGGACATTACTGTGTAGTTTGTTTAATGTGGTCAGC